TATGACGGTACCTGGCTCATAATACCAGTTGAAAATAATATTGAGCACTTGGCATAGGTAGGTCGTCAATTGATTGAGCTTTCTGTGTCTTTTCTTCATTACAGTTAAGATGCCTCTCCCACCGTTTACATGCGGCAAGAGTACTTTATCTCGCATCGTAGGTGGTTCTGTTGGAAAGACCACCGATTGGCCATGGCAAGCCGGCTTAAAACGAGGCAACGACGACAAAATATTCTGTGGAGGTTCTCTAATCAATAGAGAGTGGGTAATAACCGCTGCTCATTGTATTTACAGGCTCGAACCCAGTCGCACTGGGTGTGTCGCACCTGAGCCTCGACTACGCGTGATTCTTGGAGAGTTTGACGTCGATAATATCGAAGGCCATGAAGTGACAAGAGGTTTGTTTTCATATCATCATCTTACAAATTWCGCGCGGTTTGGAGTTGWATGTCYTGTTATTGACAAGTCTCTTGACGTCATACAATTTTAAAACTCATGTGATGGGCCCACGCTGAGAGTTTCACTGCTTGAGGTKTATGTCTTATTATTGACAGACTCCAAACTGAATGGRCMCACKAGCGTAATGAGTGGTTCACTGTTGAACGTCTGATGACGTCAAGAGTGTGTTGATAAAGGGAAAAGAAGTGCAACTAGTGACGCCATTTTCATTATCAAAATTGTTATCTATACATTTCGCCTTATGGGTTAATAGCGATTTTGACGATGACGCCAAACGTGGCATTTAAGAGAACATAAAGCAAGAAATTATCGAAAATTGTTTTTCTCTTCAACCAGACCTAGTACTGAGCGAGCGTAACTCGCTTCTCGTCGGTCCAAAGTTWTGCTAAACTATCGCAAAGACATTTTCAGATTCAGATTGTTTCCAAGTTTTAATAGTTAAAATTATTGCAGCGGTTGATAAAGATTGATTTCCATTCATGCATGTCGAGTTTATTATTGTACCCTATTGTAAACAACGTTCAAGAAAACAAACTAACTTATAKAAATCATTTTTTAAGATGTTGCACAAGTTTGCATGCATCCCAARTATCAGCATCGTACGTTGGATTATGACATCGCTCTTCTTCGACTTGCTGATCCTATCATGAGATTCAATGAGCACGTCAAACCAGTATGCATGCCATCGTCCAGCTATGTTACACCTATTGGCAAGAACTGTACAGTAACTGGCTTTGGGAGAGTTGGTGAGTTCAACCATTCGTCTACAGTAATAAACTTCCTCATTTTTAATATCATCATAAGTAATTATTAGATTAAATTAAGGAATATAACATTAGTAAAACATATTTGCTTGTAACGAATTCCAAAAACAACCTAAAAAAAGTAGTAACTGAAGTATCATACAAACTCTATATAGCACGCAATCTTACAAAAAATACATARATATTTTTGTCGATAATTTTGTAATTTAATTGCGAAATCGCGAAGAATGAGCAAGTAACGTATGTGAAKCATATTGTGTTTCAATCATTTTGCAGAAGATTGTAGACCATAGTGGAGAGCGGAGACACCCTCATATCAACTTGTCTACCTGAATTCCATACTCAAACTATTTACTTCTTACTAGGTGAAAACTCCAACTTATCAAAGACACTCCTTCAAGCTACCATCCCCATCAAGCGACTAGACTATTGTAAAAAACAATACCCACTCAAACTTGTCACTCATCGTATGATATGCGCAGGATATGAAGGTGGAAACATCGATTCTTGCAAAGGAGACAGCGGTGGACCATTTGTGTGCAAAGATGGTTACAACTATGTGTTAACAGGCGCGGTCAGTTGGGGTGTTGGCTGTGCGAGGGCTGGGAATCCTGGGTTATATGCTAACATYCGATATTTCATGACATGGATTCAGACCACAATGAAAACTACTTGAACACTTTTCAGCTCATAGTTAAAATATKATATGTTCAAGAGTAATATTTTCATTGAATTGTAAAATAACTATGCTAATCCCAATGTTTACTATGTACTAGTGCATACTTGAACCTCGCGCTAGTGGTTCCTTTTTTAAAGTTATTCGACAAACATCTTTATTCTTTGTAAAAATCTATAAAACCCTTATGGCGATCTGGCCGAGGAGCAATACATGCACATGTTATGAACGCATATCACCAATAAATTCAAAGTATCTTTGTCACGTGGTCAATAGTCGTTTAGGGACTATTCACACTACGACATGTCGAACAAAAGAAACGACAAAGGAATGAAGTTAAGCGTGCATCGAATAAGTGACATAAGGCAGAGCATAGAGCAGAGTCACTTGAACCATGAAATAGAAACTAAATACTTAGTTACTAATAGACACTATTTAGACACTATCACTGAACCAGAACAGTTCAAAGAGATTACTTTGATTGTCAAAGTGGTCTCTTGGGTATTGCTTATTGGATCAAATCAACTGTTCTGGTTCAGTGCTAACGACTATTAGGAACTAATAGTMCCTATTAGTTAGTACTTTTTAGTTCTTATTTCATGGTTCATGTGACTCTGCTCTAAGCTAATCAAAGACAAAGGAATAAACAGAGAAAAACACCTTAATTAAACCCTTTTGTTTATGGAGCTTGTACTTATGTTGCAGTGTGAACTGCTCCTTTGGGTTAGTATAATGAGTAGCTCTATCAACAGTAACATTGGTCTCCTTACAGGGAGGGATGGAGTAATGGATAAATTGGTACTATTCTTCGTGTGCAACCACGTGTCGTCATGTCATTATGACTCCTGAGAAATAAAGAACAAAGCAATCGCCTCCATGTTGGATTAATGAACAAGAGAGACTAATGAGAAATGCTTTGTGATTTTCAATTAACATGGCGGTGATGATGTAACTTGCACGCATTTGGTATGTTGAAATACCGCTCAATAGCCGGCGCAGCGCCCCCTAAGGGGATTGGGGAGGGCCGGCCGAGCGGSGAGTTTCCTCCCCACTTCCCACTCGGCCGGCCCTCCCCGATCCCCTTAGGGCCGCTACGCAGGCTAACGCTCGAAGATAATAACTAAGGCCTAATAATGTCCATATAATTGACAACCCCAATCGCTAAAAAACGCGTCCTGATGACGACACGGAAATACGCATTCCGCCGGAAGAACTTTTGACAAAAAGGGAAATGTATCTGCTGGTTCCTGCTGTGAGAGTCAGCGAGGAGCATGCTGGTTTTAATAGTGACTAGTATGTCAATCAAGATTGACTATCATTGTCCAGAAGTCTCCCGTGAGGAAGCAACAATACAAGTATAATATCGTCTTGGATCATCAAAACTTCTACTTCAAACCCTTCTAAATCCATTACTGTATGAATGGTATTGGTCTGACATTTCTTCTCCTATATGCTGCACTTGTTCATCTTATTCAAGCAAAGGCAGTCGATAGCGCGTTTTTATTAGCTTCTCATAGGCAAGATATACCATGAGTATCTTATCCTATTCGTTTACTAGCTATTTGTTAAATAAAAGAAAAAAATATGTGCTAGTAGTTCAGAATATTCTAGGGCAACTTTAACTATGTGCTAAAGTTAACTCGTTTCATAACTCAATTTTGATTAACAATTACCCTGGGTACTAGGGGCTGGATATTTACGATGGATATAAACCCCGACATACACCAAATACACGTCTTCTGGACAAATTGCACAGAGTGAGGGTCAGACCTCGCTTCAACTCCGACCACTTCCCCTTCAGCGACGCAACACTACACAATTTTTGTAGTCACTCCTATGAGTCCAGACAACAGTACCTTTCATGCGCTGTTGTTTTATTGCTATTTCAGTCATTGATGGTCAGTGGAGTGCTTGGGGTCGATGGAGTACCTGTACGCGGTCACTTGAAGCTGAGAAGATTTCTTGTAATACACGACGCTGTAAAGGTACACTAGATATGATGTAGTCGGGTGATGCTTTCGATGCGTACATAACATGACTCCTGTCTTCCACGTGCATAGAGTACACTTTGCCATCAGATTTTGGCGAAGAGTCATGAGCAAGCTGTCGCACAGTCGCGCGCGTAGCGAGGACTTTTTGGCTAGTACGCGCGTCAGGGACCACAACACATATTTTGGATTGGGGATCTAACGACCGCCAATGGTCCATTTTGAAATGAGTCCATTTTGAAATGGATAACTCTTGGAAATGCGATTTCCAGCGTTKTGAGAGACATCGAGGGCATATAAAAGGATATTTTTATGTGACTTTTTCAGTAATTTTTGTGAGAATACATTTCCTTGCCATTATTACGCACGTGCGTATATGCGTAAAGGACGCTACACGCCTGACAGTGCGATCTCGAAATAGATGATATTTTAGACTGTCGAATGTTTTTCGAAATGAAGCCAATTTTTGTATAAGACTGCTTGCGTTTACAACCTGTGGTATATATAAGCAAGGATGAATAGTGACCAATACTATTCATGCTGTGGTATATACTAATACAAGCCGCTCTGCAGATTACATATGCTGTCCAAC